ACAATCCTAAATCCAGTGCACCAGCAAGACTCTATCTGTTCCTTGACAGCTTGATTATACTGCATCTCTATGAGTATCTCTTTGGGTTTTCCAACTTAGCTGAGTCTACTGAGCAGTTGAGATTTGTAGATTTATATCAGGAAAGTTTTCGGCCATTATTTTTTCAGATATAGTTCTTTTCTCTTTCTCTTCTTCCTTTGGAACTCCCACAATATGTATGTTGGTCCCCCAGATCCCTTCAGCTCTGTTCAGTTTTCCTCTATCCTTTTTCTTTCTTTCCTTTAGCTTTAATAATTTCAATTGCTTTATCGTTTACTGATCTTTGTTCCAGCTCATCAAATCTTTTTTTGGACCATTCTAGTGAATTTTTTTTAATTTCAGCAATTGTATTTTTCAGCTCCAAAATTTTCCTTTTTTTGTAGTTGTTTCCTCTTATATCCTCTTTGTTGATACTCTCATTTTGTTCATATATCATTTCCCTGTCTTTGTCTATGCTTCCTTTATTTAAAACAGTTAAGTATTTGTCTAGTGAGCCCCCACCCAGACTCCCCTCTATCATGGGTCATACTTTGTTTCTTTGTAAGGTGCATGTGGGGTGTGTGTGTGTGTGTGTGTGTGTGTGTGTGTGTGGTTGAATATAGAAATTTGAATCTTCTATTGGTGATAACTCTGGAAATCAGATTCTCCCCATCCCCTAGGATTTGCTGGGTTTTATTATTGTAGTCTGTCTCTGTGCTAAGCTTAGGATTTTCTGAGCTTGCACCCTTCCTGAGCTTGTGCAGTCTTTCTAAATTCTCCTATGTATTTGGTTGCTTTTGAATGCCCTAATCCCAAAGTGTCCAGCATCCAGGAGTGTATAAAAGCATCCAGGAGCTATCTGTCCCTTTATGTTCTCTGGAAGTCCTATGAGTTGGTGGGTATTGAAGCAATGGCAGCCTGTCTCTGAGTCTGCATCTCTGTAACTGAAAGCAGTAACCCACAATGAGGACACAGAGCCCTGATAGCTGGAGGACAGGGTCCTTATTGCTCACCCCCAGTAATAACACTGGCTGAGCACTTTATTTACAACAGCACGTCAAACCCTTACAAGAACCCTGTGTGGTCAGTGTCATTAAAATCTTCTGAAAATGAGGAAACTGAGGTTTACAGAGAGAAAGCCATTTGACCGGCCTTCCATTACAAGAAGAGGCTTCCTTGCATGTTCCACAGATATGTGTGAGAGAGAAAGCAGCTCCCAATGGCTGGGGGCTGACTGGACACTAATAATGGGTCTTGGTGTTGCTGAAAGGTGTCCTGGAGCTCACACCAGATCATGGTGTTCTCCTGCTGAGCATCAGCATTTCTCACAGGACATCATCAGCCTCTCTCTGTGACTATGAGTCAGTGCAAAAGTAAGTGCATTCTGCAATTACGTCTGCACACATAAAGAAAACAGGAACATTGTTCCAGCCACAAAACACCAAGCATCCTCCTGCCCCAGCTGCTATGAGTGCTGCTTTTGCCACCTGCAGTTTTAGCTTCACTCCATTCTGCTCACCTTTTAGATAAGATAGAATTAGTCCCATTTGTGGCAGCACCCAATCCAGAGCGACTTCCCACCTCTTTGAACTCTTCCCCAAACCACATGACAGAGCCCAAATCCTGTAAGTCTCTTCTGATAGCTTCTTGCTGAGATGCTGCACTATTCCTTGCGGTATGATATCTTGCCTCGCTTCATGAGTCGGATTTATCCAACTTACTTCACAGGTGTGTTTCTGATGGTCTCAGGAGACCGACACACACCAAACCGTTCTCACCCCAAGGCCTTTGCATGTGTTGTGTGCTTAGTCCAGACTTCACCACCTGCAATCTTCATGGCTCATCTTTAAAGACATCTGCTAAAATATCAGTTCTCCAGAAGGCCTTCTCTACTTACCAGCCCCCCACACCCGTTTGTCTGTCTGCCTGTCTGCTTGCTTGAAACAGGGTCTTGCTATGTAGTTCACACTGACCTTGAACTCACTGTTTAGCCCAGGCCTGCCTCAAACTCGTGATCCTCCTGCCCAGACTCCTGAGTGTTGGGATTACTCACCACTTCTTTGAAATACTCTCTGTACTAGTTTGCTACAGCTGTTGTAACAAACACCACAGACTATGTGGCTTAAACAATAGACACATATTTCTTCATAGTTCTGGAAGCTAAATGTCCAAGATCAAGGTATTGGCGTGTTTGGTTTCATTCTGAGGCCTTTCTCCTTGGCTGGCAGGTGGCTGTCCTAGGGAGGTATCCTTATATAGCCACCATCTCTGTGTATTTTCTGTGTCCTAATTTTCTCCTCTTATGAGGACATCAATCGTATCAGATTAGAACCCACTCTAATCACCCCATTTTAACTCAATTACATTTTAAAATTCCCTTTTCCCAAATATAGTTGCATTCTGAGATCCTGGGGGTTAGAGCTTCAATGTGGGGGTGGGGGCACAATTCATCCCACAGTAGTCTCTACCCCCAGTTTTTCTCTCCTCACTTTTTCCTTTCAAGGCATTTACTATGATCTGATGTTGTGGTAGTCATTCATTTGTTTGCCATTTATCTTCTCCCAGTATAAAGACAGTATTGCTCAGCAAATATCCCATGTGTCTCTCTACATTTTTCAGACCATCTGTAGTTAGGTGAGGCTATGTGATTAATTCTAGTTAGTAGCCTCTAAGGAAAAGTAATGTGGGTCCCTGCCAGCCAAAGCATTTAATTCCCAGTGCATGACTCATTATCCTCCCTTCTCCTAGCATAGCAACTAGTGATATTCCAGGTATATTGGTAGGGATCTCATGGGGTGGAGCTATCCACTAGCCAATACCAGACATATAACATGAAAAAAGAATTGTGTTACACCACTGAGATTCCAGAATTCTTTTGTTACATAGCACAATCTAACTCATCCTGACTAATATATTCCCACTAGAAGGTAAGCTCTAAGAGGTCAGGGACTTTGCCTACATCCCTAGTGCCTGGTGCAAGGTGGGTAAGCAGTAATTATTATGGAGTAAGTGAATGTGCAGGGTATAGGGAGGTGAAGCTGTGACTAAAACCACTGTCCACAGTGGACATGGAGCATGAGTGAGAAGTAGACACTTGCTATTCTAAGTCACTGAAGTTTGGGGGAAGCTTACCATAGTAACAAATAGCCTATCTTGACTGATTCCAAAATTAGTTTTGAGACAGTTAGAGGAAACAGACTTCCAGGGACAAAGGGCAGTTACATTCCTAGGCCTTATCTTGACACCTGCTACCCATGAAAATATGGTATATATGGTATATTGTCTTCCTTACCTTCACTCTCCAGAACAATCTCATCAATCTTGAAACTTGAAGGCCAACATGCCTCTGCCATAGTGTCTCCAAGAATAAACTAGATGAAAAATAAAAGTGTTGAGCAGCCGGGCATTGGTGGTGCACACCTGTAATCCCTGCACTCTGGAGGCTGAGGCAGGTGTATCAAAAGTCTGAGCCCACCCTGGGGACTTGCGACTCTGATAACCTGTCTCAAAAATTTTTTTAAAAATTCTGGGGAGGAGCTTAGTGAGAAGGCCCTGCTTTAAATCCCAGCACCACAAATAAATAAATAAATAAATAAAACTTTAGGAAGACAGAGGACAAACAGGCTGCTGGGCTCTTAATCTGTTCCTCCTTAAAAGGATGATTTATGTTTTCTTCTGAGGCAGTCAAGGACTTAAAAGCTGCCTTTGCTAAAAACAGTGACTCTTTACTTGTGTCTACAGATACCCGATGGGTAACTAAAACAGGATATAGCTTGACATCTCTGCCTTCATTTTGTATCTGTCTCCTTGATTACCTTAAAACTTTGGGTCAGATCCCTGCTCAGCCCTGTGTGTAGGGGAATGTTTAGGCCTGTATGTTTAGGGAGTACCTGTCAAGAGCTGGCAATCCAAGGCTTCTTTGCCCTAAATTTACCTAACCTATCTCATCCTCCTTTAAGACTGAGGACACCAAGATAAGAGATTCACAGGGACCCTCAACTTTCAGCTTTTTCCCCCTAGAATGAGCACCTAGAAGTCTCTAGTCACCTTAGAAATCTACAACTTAGAAATCTAGTGGAAATCTACAGCCACCTTAGATTCCAGCAGAACCCTCCACACAGCCAAGATGGTGCCTGGAAGTGCTCATCTCAAAGGAACAGAGCTGCCCCTCAAGCCATGAGGATTTCTCCAGAGCTACAAACCAGGCCTGAGATAATCATCAACCATATCCTAGCCCACCTCAGCAGCCCCTTAAAAACTTGTGGCTCTTCCTTTGTTAGTTAAGAAGCCAGTCTGGTCAGAGCCATGCCACCGTTAGCTCCTCAAGCTGAAGTCTATTTCTTTCACTCTCCTTTGTTAAGGGGCTTCCCTAATCTCCACCAGGACTGTGCCCTCTTTAGCTTATCTTCTTCTTAAGCTGAAGACCCTTCCTGTTTTCTCTTACTTTCCAATTAAGGCTTTTGCTTGTAAATTCATGCTGTTTCCCTGGTTTTGATTTCCATTTTCACAGAAGCAAGAACTCATGCTAGCTGGTAACAGCTTTGGTAATGAGGTGCTGCTATAACGAAAACTCAAAATAGCACTATCTTAGATACACTGGGAACAAGGAAACCTCCTCCAAAGGATGGAGACTGTTGTCTGAGATGCTTTGGAATTTCAATAATGTCCTTAAAGAACTTGCAGCTTTAGGAGAATCAGTTAGAATGTAGGATATTAGGAGTGAATATTGGCAAAGTTGACTGAAAATTGAGAAAGACAAAGGCCCTTGTAGTATCTTCCTACTGGATTTTAGAAATGGTATTGACCAGAGACTTCTGAGCGTCTCGCCTTCCTTCCCTTTCTGATGGACAGGAAGCCATTTTGTCCCAGTTCATCGTAGTATATTAGATATGTATAGGGTATATAATTGGCCTTTTTAGTTCATTTGTTCCGGCTGAAATTTACTCATTTTGTTTCCTGCACAGCTCCTGTGGATATTTGAGTTTTCTACCCTACAAGCTATAAGAAGCCATTTGGTGACATTTATTAATTATATTCCTGAAAGCACATGGACTAACATTCATTCTATGCCCAGGGCTAATCCATGAGTTGCATGGGTAACTTCACAAAGCCCAGCATGGCTCCCAGAGTCGTCCTTTTGTCTCAGTCTGCTGTGCTGGCCACCCTGTGGCTGATTAGCCTTTCTTTCCCAACTCTGTGGCCCCAGTCATCAATCAGCTGTTCCCATAAGAGTCCCTGCCACGGGGCCCTACTCTCTGGCAACGAGATTGTCCTGAAGTGTGATCATCCAGGGGCACTCTGGTATTTCTCCTCCATTCTCGAGGAGGCTCTCTTCCTGATCAATTCAATGCATAATATAAAGAACCTGCCTGGGGGCAGCCTGCAGTTGATCAACCCTCAGCCTTCCCAGTCTGGCCTCTATAGTTGCCAGGACAATCACAATACCCTCATAGTGGAATATGAGATTGACTTCCAAGATGTCACCACCCTGCACATTACACACAAAACTTTGGACCAACAGCCCCTGCAGAATGAGACCCTGATGCTAGGAGGCAAGGTGCTCATCTTCACCCAGTGGGAGCCCTGGCAGGACTGTAACCACTGTGGGGTGCCCGGTGAGTGAAAGGGCCTGGGCTATTGCTTCGTTGAGGAGCCCCAGGAGAAACTCATATCCTGTGGACTCTATGTGAGAGAGGAGAAGCTGGCACACAGCCACTTGAGACCTGAGCTGCAGCTAGAAGCCTGTCTCATACCCTATGACCCTGCTAAGGAAATGGAACAGCCATACTTCATCTTTGACATTTACCAGCTGGGCAAGTTGACTGACAACATGTGACTTACCTGGCCCTTGGCCTCCATCTACAGGTAACAGCATTATGCACAACTAAGTAAGGCAAAAATATTCTAGGAACCCAGACAGGGCTAGGCCCTCAAGAGAGTCAGTGCAAAAGATGAAAACACATTACAACTGTGGCCAGAGGTGCATCTGTTAGAGGTCAGGCCTCAAGAATGACCAGGCCTACATACCTCTCCAGGGAACAAGATAATTGACATCATGTGGTCCAATAAAGTCTAGATAGACATCAGTCACCTCAGTGGGTGACCAAGACTTCCTGATCCATCCCTTCCTAAAAAAGGTCTTTGTTCTTTCCATGTACACTTGCTATGTGACCTGCTGCTCCATTGGATCAATATTACCTAAGCAGCTATACTTGTAATCTTACTGGTTGATCATAGTTTTGATCCACGTTGTACTCACCTAGTGATTTTCCTCTATAAAATTTCCTCTGTTGAAGGGGGGTCTGCAGCAACCCACTTTTCGGTCCCCTCCTATCTCTCAGGAGCTCTCTCTCTCTTTCTCTCAATAAAGTTTTCCTACTCTTAACTTCCATTGTTCCTTAAAATTTATTCTTCGATTTTGGAGAACATGAACTCAGTGTACCTCCCATCTAGCAGGTTGGAAATTATATTATTTCCCTATATCAAAAGGACCAGGGCAACCGTCCTACCTTTGGCTTTCGCCTAGCCTTTGTCTCCTGTGTCCTCCTGGGCTGAGGTTTCCCTCCTATAGAAAACCAGGCTCCTTCTCCAGTTTACCATCCTTCATGTGTGCAGGCGCGCTTATCAGGATGTTCATTTGGCAAGCATTCCCTGGTGCTGCTTCTCAGCTGGGCCTTGGGAAGGTGATGTTGGGGACACTGTGGTGATTAGAAAGACCCAGTCCCTGCTCACACAGGTGCCCAATATGCAGATGTAAAACCTAGAGACTGAGATACTCAGCCCCATGTGTCAACATGGTGAACCTAAGGTCAATAGGGACACTAATGTGATTTCCATCCCCTGATTGGTCCCTGATTTATATAGTCATGATTAGTTGATTTTCTTTAAAATACTTTATTTTCTATTTTATTGATTTCAGACTTTCTTATTTCAGATCTCTGTATTGGTTGGGTTAACTTTGTTGTTCTTTTTCTAACTTCTTGAGATGCTTGCTAGATTACCAGTTTTCATCCTTCCCCCTTAAGTACGTATTTATGGTATAAATTTCACTTACACACAACTTGCCTGCATCCTATAAGTTTTGATAAGTTATTTTTTATATTTAGTCAGTTATAAATACTTTCTATTTTCACTGGAAATTTCTCTTTTGACTCATTTGGTTATTTAGATATTATATTGCATAATTTTTCTACATCTGGGGAAGTTCTTGTTATCTTTCTGTTATGTCCAGTTTAATTCTGCTGACCATAAAATATGATTCAGTTCTTTCAGCATTTATTGAGGCTTCCTTTATGCAATAGATTATGCTTATCATAGGCAAATGTTCCATGTGAATGTGAAAAGAATGTATTTCGTACAGTTGTTGAGTGCAGTATTCCATATATTTGAGCTAAGTCATTTATTTGTCATCTGGTTCAGTTCCTATCTCCATCTCTATCTCTGTCTTTTTTGTACCAGGGATTGAACTGCCTTGCACTTGCAAGGCAGGCGCGGGGCTCAATTGTTCTCTAAGTTTGGGTTTCATGCTCCATCAGTTACTGAGCCATGTATATTAAAATCTCCAACTGTGATTGTGGACTTGTCTACTTCAACACTCAGAACTGAGTGCAGGCTGGCCTTGAACTCACTATGTAGCCCAAGCTGGCTTCAAACTCTCAGCAGGTGAAACTCCTGTCTCTGTCTCCTAAGTGTTGGGAATATAGGTGTGTGCTACCACTTTCAGCAACTGTCTGTTGAACATTAATTCTCTACTCCTTAGAATACAATATAAATTTGTACTCATAGTGTCCCTACACAATGCAGAAACTTCATAACCCTGTAGCTCCATTTATTCCCCTTCTGTCTATGATACTCTTGTGCTCAAGTATTTTAAACTTTACTTATCTTTTAAACTCCCAAGAAATTGTCCTTACATTATTATATTAAATTAGTTTTATACTTAAACTTACTTTTCTGGTGCTTTTCATTTTTCCATTACGTTGCATCCATTTGGGATCATTTCCTGCTGCCTGCGGAATTCCCTTTTGTTTTACTTTTAATTGTACTCTACCACACTGAATTTTCTACCTTTTCATTTGGAAACATACATATATGTTGGCCTTCACCATTCAAGAATGTTTTTACTGTGGTATACAATTCTTGATTGGGACTCATCTTCTTTCAGTGTTTTGAAGATGTCACTCCATTGTCTTTTAGCTACTATTATTTCTATTTAAAAATCTCCTGTTCGTCACTTTGAAAATAACTGTCTTTTCTCTTCTGGCATGTTAAAGATGCCTTGTTTGGTTTTCAGAAGTGTTTTCCTATAATGTACCTAGGCATGGTTTTCTTTATGCCCATTCTGGGTGGGATTCAAAGATCTTCAACTTGTAGTTTGATTTTTTTTGGGGGGGGGGTAAGTTTTGAAGTCTTCGTCAGTATCTTTTTAGATATTGATTGTGGTCTTGTCTCTTCTTTTCTTTTGAGTCTCCATTTACATAAATATGAAAAGTTTTCACCATCTCTCATATGTCTACTACTTCACACTCTGTTGTGTGTCCTTTACTTTTACCTTTTTTTTTGTACCAGGAATTGAACTCGAGACTTTTCACTTGCCAGGCAGTTGCAGTGCCACTGAACTAAATCCCCAGCCCTTTATTTTGCCTTTGCATGTTCCAGTAAAAATATTTTTCTACTGGTCAATCTTTCATTTCCCTAATCCTCTCTCCTGTTATATTTAATAAATATGTTGTTCCAGTGAATTCTTAATTTAATAAATTTTGTTATTTACTTCTGGTATTTTCATTTCATTTTTCTTCTGTAAAGCTTCAAACTCCTCGTCTTGTCATTCTCAGCCACATTCATCATAATTCTCTTTTTTCTTGTGTGGGCTGGGGATTTGAACTCTGAGCCTCCCATATGCTAAGCGTGTGCTCAATCACCAGCCGCCATCATAGTTATCTTAAAATCTACAGTTGTTATTAATGAGAGTGTTGGTCTGATACAAGCTACCAGATTGTGGCAGTAAACCTAATTCTTTCTTGCCCATATTGTTTGAAGACTATCAGAGAGTGTGGATTCTCATATGCAGTCTCTTGGATTGATATGTTGGCCCCTGATTTAAACATTCTCGAAGTATTCCTGGGGAGCCAATTGAAATATTCCTTCAGGCCAGATCCAGCCAGCCTGTGACTTCTCACCTACCTGAAATGAAAGCTGGAAGTGGGTTTTCTCAGAGTCTCATCACCATCCCTCCTATCTTTCTAGGAAAGACTCTCTGGGCTGAAAGACAGAGACAGAGAGAAGAAGGAGATAAAGGGAAAACAACGGGGACATTGACCTCATTTTGTCTTAGATAGAGGGACTTCTTAGGATCCTGGGAAGCAAACAAAAACCCTAGATGGTTGTGTGTTGAGAGCATGCTACATAATTTTAGGGAAAAACCATTTGGTTAGGCCTAGTTCTCCTGCCTACAGGCCAGCTATGGCATTTTGAGACAAAATTCCATTTTGGCCTCTGGTCACAATGAGACCTCAATGATCCGGTGATGCTGTGATTCTCCAAGACAAGATTACAGCAGCTGAAGACATCCTGGGAGGAACAAAATCTTCACCTACTCAGTTCCTCATTGTTCTTGGATTGTTCCACTTTGTTTATCCAGATGTACTGAATTCTCTGCAAGTCATTTGTTACATCTGTTTCTCCCGATGTACTGAATAAAATGTGTGGTAAGCTGGGGGCTTTCCTCTTTGCCGCCCAGAGCAGCACTGATCAGACCCAAAGCTCAGCTTCTTCTCTAAGTCTCATTTTTCTACCTTTCCTGTATAGTAAGTTAAATTGCCTTGTGCTGCCGTGGCTCGCAGGAGACTAGGACTTACTGCAGAGGTTCTAGTAACGTCCCCTTTCCCTGTTCCCTATAGTTGTGTAGGTCTGAAACCATCGAGGATAAGTTCCAGGGTGAGTCTGGCCAAATGCAACCTGCAGTGGTCCCCACACAGGACAGAGACATGACTGAGAGGCCCCAGACTTAAGGAGCCAGGTAGGTGAACAGCAAAGACCTAGCTGAACCTCTGACCCCACCATCTCTCCCTTGTCCTCTCCTCTTCGTCACTCTGGCCTCTGTGCTCTTCAAATGCCCCAATAAAGCAGCGACGTGGCTACTTGTGGTCCTTTCAGGTGCGTGGGGAACCCCACTTCCTCTGAGGGTACCAGGACAGCTGGGCCACCATCCACCAAACAGCTCTAATCCACACACCACTCTCTTTTTCTATCCCCTTTCCCTGCTGTTTTTCTCTTGAGCAGTTATCTCTACAGTCTACCTGCCTATCTGTGGGCTCCCAATTTATGGATCTGCCTACTCACTGGCATCTCTGTCACTTCAAAAGCCATGGCCACAGTGCATTCATCATCATTTGCAGACTGGTAAAGTGTAGTGAGAAACCTGAGTCCTCCAATGTGCATGTTCTCAGCGGAGGTCAGACAAACAAGACTGCATTCCTTGGTCCAGGTCTCATGCTGTTCACAAGCATCCTTTTTGTGACCTATTAACAGTATTTTGGGGGACAGTACTGTGGATTGAACCCAAGGCCTTCACATTGACCTCTTACCCCAGTTCTTAGCTAACTTGCTAGGCTGACCAAGCGGGACTCAAAACTTTTGATCTTTTTGCCTCACCCTCCCAGAGTGCTGGTATTGCATGAGTCCACTGGCACGCCAGGGGGTTTTTTGGGGGTCTATTCTTTGGTTTCACAGTTGTGTGCTTTTGATTTGTAAAATGGCTCTCAAGCACAGTGCAAGAGAGCTGTGATATTCGTGAGTGGAAGAGAAATTAAGTAGTGTGGTGAAGTTGTTACAAAACAAAAGGGGCCAATGCCCTCACAGCCCATGCAGCAGATTGCTGCTCATCTCACTGCCCAGACCTGAGGCCCAAGCTCATGGTGACCTCACAATGTCCTGACTGGTGCTTGGTCCACTGCCATAGTGCCAGTCCGCCATGCTGACCACCTTGAGGCTGCTTCTCAGCCTTTCTGCCCCAGTGCTGGGGTTCTATATTCCTATCAGCTGTCCTGAGGGCCACAAATGTCAGCTGGCCCTGCTCTCTGGCGATGACATCCTCCTTGAGTGCCCCTTGTCTCGGGCACACTGGAACTACTCCTTCGTGATAAGCAAAAAAAGCGGGGCCATTAACTCCATGGCCTCCAACATGGAAATAACATCGGAGGGCAATCTTGCCATTACCAACCCCCTCCTGTCCCAGACAGGCCTCTACTACTGCTGGAAGGAAAACAGCCAAGTGACCCAGTTCAAGATTGACTTCCAAGATGTCCACTCCCTGTACATTACACACGAGAACCTGGACAAGAAGCCCTTGCAGAATGAAAGCCTGCGTGTAGGTGGCATAGAGATCATCTTCACCCGGTGGGAGACCTGGCAGGACTGTAACCGCTGTGGGGTGCCCGGTGAGTGGAAGCGCCTGGGCTACTGCTACATTGCTGAGCCACTGGAGGATCCCATGCCCTGTGGGCTCTACCTGGCGGAGTCCCCACATTGGTTCTCCCGCTTGAGACCTGAGCTTCAGGTAGAAGCCTGCTTCGTGGAATGTAATGACAACCCATTTGCCCAGTTGGGCTATGTCATCTTTGACAGCTTCAGGTTTAATGAGGAGTTGGCACCTTTGTCACTCCCCTGCCCCTTAGCATCCATCTACAGGTGATGAACTCTGATGAACCCTCTGCCCCTTAGCATCCATCTACAGGTGATGAACCCATACAGGTACCACCCCTGCCTCTGTCCCTAAGCCAGCTGGTCCAGGGAGATCCTGGGTAGGGGGTGTGGTTCTTTGTCCAGCATGCCTGAGAACCATCTAGGACACCAGTGTGGCTGGGCAGGTTGAATAAGGGGAATGGAGCAGGTGAGGCCAGGCAGGAAAATAGGCCAGCACATCACTTAGGGACTGTTCTTTCTCATTCCTCCAAATAGGCTGCTGGAGAGGTAGGTACAATCATTACCCTCTTCCTCCAGGTAAGAAGCCAGAGGCCTTGGCCCAGGTCACAGCTGGTGACAGAGACAGTGGTGGGGAGCACCCGGCCATACAGTCCCCACCTGGCCATGCTAACTGCTGGCCGGGCAGAGGGGCCACCATCTCCACCTCCTTTCTCATGCCAACCCCTTTCCCCTTGAGATCCTGCAACTGACTTTGTCTCCCTTGCAGGCCTGTCAGCTGGGAGGCTAACAACATCTCCTTGACCTGGGAGAACGAGCTCTTGGGCAAAAACTACAACAGGTCCCTGAACCTGGCCTCTGGCGGCCGGCAGCTGCAGATCTTCCAGCCAGCCACTTACAGGTGCTTCATGGAGCAGGAGTTCATAGCCCAGTTCAACCCCATAGCCACCCTGGAGTTTCTGGGTCCTCAGAAGAGAGAGAACAAGACCCAGGGCCCATCCAGGAAGGCAGATTCCATTCCTCTGAGGTTGAAGCTGGTGCTGCTCATGGGCACAGCCCTGGCCTTGGGGGTGCTGCTGTTCAACACCCTCTGCTCTGCCCCAGGCAAAAGAAGAAACCAGATGCTGCTGGCAAAATAAAATGAGCCCTCAGGGCCCCAGGACCTGGCCTCCTCCCCTTATTGCCTCCCTTGTCCCTCCTGTGGCTCCTCTCCTTGCCGGTGCCACATTGCCCTGTGAAATATTTGTTATCTGACCTGGGGGGATAGCCAAAGGTGACTGAGCCCTTCCTGTTTCAGCTCTGGTCTGCCCAAGCACTGGTAATCCTCACTGTACAGAAGAGGAAACTGCGGCAAGGCTGACTAGTTGCTGGAAGGTGGGGCTTCAGTTCAAACCAGATGTGGCCTGGCTCAGGCCTGGGCTCCTCAGGAGGGAGAGGAAGGGAAGCTATTGTCAGTGAGTCTCTGAGTGGGGTCAGTGGTAGCCTCATCCCAGCCTCCAAGTAAAGACGTGTGTGTGTGTGTGTGTGTGTGTGTGTGTGTGTGTGTGAGTGTGTGTGTACAGATGGGTAAAGCTCCAGCCCCACCAGGGCCTGCATGGAGCCCCCCTGCCTTCTCTGCTTGTCCCTTGACCCACTCTTTCCCCCCTGTGCTGAGGCCTTCAGGCCCAGCCACAGCTCCCCAAGTTGGGCCCCGGGTGGCCTGGACACTCATCACCCTTCCCTGCTCTTGTGGGGGAAGAAGCCCTGTCAGACTCTCCACAGAGAAAGGTGTCTGGTCTGGCTCAGCTGATCCCCCACCAGGCCTTGCTGTTCCCAGAAATGACACGCAGTGTTCAGCCAGAGTATAAGAGTGAGAAATGAAATATTAATACCTTTTAAAATTCATTGCCCTACATTTCCACTGTGAAGCAATGACAGGACAGATGGGAAGCTTTCCCAGAGCAAAACCGGGCCCTGGAGGACAGGACAGAGCGCATCCCCCTGGGACTCACGTGGCCCAGGAACTCAAGGGTTCCTGCAGAATGAGGGAGCATCCCTTGAGAATTAACAGGGGCTCACTGGAAAGCAGAGGCCGAGAATACCAGCAATAGGTGTGGTAAATGTTGTTGGACCTCCTGATGCCACAATCATCCATTACACTGCTGTCACTATTAGCCTCGTTTTGCAGTCGGGAACATCAAGGCACAGGAGGCACAAGTGACCTTCCTGATGCCACACGAGTCAGCAATGGAATGGACAAAGGAGATCTCTGTCCCCTTCTACTCCCAGCCCCTTCCCCCTGTGTCCTGCGCCAACATTCCCCTAGCTCCAATTATGGGAACTGGTGGTGGAACAGTGAGAGGCAAGTACTCACCCCTCCCAGGCTGGTCTACACAGCTCTGAATGTCTCAGGACCCACAGCTGAGGCTAACTGCCCACTGTGGCAGCAGCCCCAAAGGTGACCCCAGTGACTTCCCACCTCCTGGTGTCCACACCTTTGTGTCATCCCCTCCACTTCATTGTGGACTGGACCTGCGACATAGCTTCTAACCGGTAGTGTGTGGTGATGGTGTTGGGCTCTCTCCCCTGTGATTGACAGATTAGAGCAGAGTTGTACCAGTTTGATGACATAAGCACTTCCTGTTGTTTGGATAAGTGTCCCCAAAGGCCCATGTGTTAAAAGCTTAGTCCCCAAGCCATGATGCTATTAGAAGGTGGTAGAACCTTTAGGAGATGGAGTCTAATGGAAGGGTGTTAGGTCATTGGGGGTGGGTCCTTGAAGGGGATATGGGGACCTAGCTCCTTTCTATCTGTCTCTGTTGGGTTCTTTGTGCTTCCTGGACACCATGATGTGAGCACATTGCCCCACCATGATGCAACTGAACTAACCAACCAACCATGGACTGATGCCTCTGAAACTGTGAGCCTTTCCTTTCTATAGCTTGATTATCTCAGGTATTTTCTTACAGTAACAAAAAGCTAATGCAGCAGCCATGATGAGAAAGCCCACATGGTAAGGATCTGTCAGCTGGAGAGACTCCTGTAGAAGCTGCAAGTGGCCTCAGGAACCTGACAATGGCCTCCAGTGGACAGCCCACAAATATCCCAGAGCCTTAGTCACACAGCCAGAAGGAAGTGAAAGTGAATCTGCCAATAGGCAGTGGAGCTCAGGAGCAGGCTCTCCTCTAGGCGAAGCTTCAAGTGAAAATGAAGCTCTGTAAACACCTTGACTGCAGTCTCATGAGACCTGACAAAGGACCCAGGCATGGCTGCTGCACTCCTATCCTCAGACACTGTGGGGTTGTAAATGGGTGCTGTATTAAGACACTAAAATTGTGGCAATTTTGCATGCAGCAACAGACAATTCATAACAACAGTCTGAAAGGTCCAAGACAGCCAGACTCTATGCTGAGAGATTCAGGATTGTGAGCTTATGGCATATTTATGACCATCCCAGATGACTCCTGTTTTTCATAGGAGGAAACCAAGGCCCAAAGAAGTAGTTCATTTGCTCATGTATACAAAGTTAACGTGTCAGTTATGGCAGCAAAGTAAATATTCCTGAAATCAAGAGATTTTAAATAAACACTACTGTTTACAGGTCTCCAAATTGGCTGGGCAATTCTGACCTCAGCTGGAATAGTTCATGCTTTGCTGATCAGCTGTGAGTTGGAGTTGGCTCTGCGGATCTTGGCTGAGGCTCACTTACTTGGGAGTCAGCTCCCAGGAGGTTGGACTAGATGTCATTGGATGGGGAGATTGAGATTGCCTCCACGAGGTCACTCTTACTACATCAGCCAACCCAGGCTTGTCCACAAGGGGGTGGCAGGGGTCCAAGAAAAAAAAGCAGTCATTGCAAGGCTATGTGGGGCCCAGGCCCAGAACTTGCACTTTCTTCAGGGACTAGGCTGGGGAGGCCTCTGCTTGCCATGTGAACTGAAGGTCAAGGTTTCAGAAGGACCAAGAAGCCACCCCAAACACAGTGGCTAAAAGTCAACATTGCTGTATTTCTCTCTCCATTCTGGGGGTTGACAGTGCAGGCTGGGTCCAGCTGGGTGGCTCTTCTGATCATGCTGGGCTCTTCACCCATCTGTGGTCATCTCAGGATGGCTGAAGAGCTCTGCATCAGGGGGCAGCCTGGCAGGTGGCAGGGGGCCACCAGCCTCCCACCCTCCAGCAGGCACAATATGGCATCACTGGTTGGCCCATGAGGCCACTGCTACCGATGGCCTGCTCATCTGGAGCTGTGTGCCCCCTCTTCCCTTCCTTAGCACCCCCCACCTCCTCATATACATTCCCTACATATTATTTGAGTCCCACCCCACCCCAGTAACCTTCTGTATTAGTCAAGATGCATCTGACTACACGTTACAGAAATCCAAGCAAAGTATTTAAGCTGAGAAAGAGTTTATGGGCTCTTGGAATTGAGAAGCTCAGTGGCACATTCTGCTTCAGACACAGTTAGATCCAGATGTTCCTACAATGTCCTTCAAAGTTGTCTTCCTCCACCTCTCTGCTCCACTTTTTTTCTGCATTGCCGGAATTCTCAAGCAGATGCTTCCCAATGAGACCAATGAGATAGACAAACAATAGGCACCTAGGATAGAGACTTAAATAAACCAAAATGGGCCCTGGAAAAATTAAAACACAAAGAAAAGGAGGCTCACTGTGGTCTTCCCTGGGAAGCTAGAGGACAAAAGAAATCTGTTCTAATGTCAGAGGCTGAGCTAAAAATGGCATCCACATTGTTTCAAAGGCAAGGCTCTGTCCCTTGAGATGAGCCCTGGGAAGCTGGCATGCAAGCAGAGTCTATTCCTCCTGATGTCAGAGCCTAGGTAAAAGCAGCAACCATATTGTTTCCTTGTTTCATTTTCATGTGCTCAACAACATAGGCCAACAAAGTGTAAATAAACCCCTACCTAAACTTGGGCCCCTCCTCGGCATCCTCTCTTGGAGCCTCTTTAGCTTAGCAAGAGTTTTTCCTTGTTCTTTCTAATAACCTATACTTAGTTCGTCCCCCACTGTTATGTCCCTGGACTTCATTCTTAAACATCTTCAGGACAAGGGCCCAGAGGGAAGAGAGAAGTGGTTATGCCAAGAGAAGATGAACTGGCCTCCGGCAGTTCCAGCATTGCTTCACAGGAGCCTAGCAACCTGGATGGAAAGAGAGCACTTTTTCTTTAATGAAGTTAGGGGTGGAATTCCAGGCCTTATGCATACTTGGAAGGCACTTTACCATTATGCTAAACCATCAGCCCCAAGAGCATTCTTCTTATAACAGCAGTGTTTTCCATGTGGCAAAAATAACGGAGTGTTCACTGTGTGCCAGCACTGTTCTAAGTACTTGGCAGATGTTAATTTATTCTCATCACACTCTATGAGGTATAAATAAGAAACCCTCCCATTTTACAGATGAGGAAACTGAGGCATGGAGAGATTAAGCTCATGATTAAGGTTATGTTGATTGTTAGTGGTAGGACTGAGAGTTGCTTGCTTTTAACCACTACGGAGTTCTAGTAGAAAAATAGTAATAGTAGCAAACCCTCATTCAGAACAGATACTCCACTCTAGTCACCATGTTAGGAAATTATCGTCATCACTGTCTCAATTACTTTCCCATAGCTGGGACAAAATACCCAATACCCACAACTGAAAGGAGAGGACTTTTTGGCTCATGGATAGAACCCATACTTGGCCAGCTCCAGGGCAGAAACAGCGTAGCGGAGGAAAGCCGCTCCCATTACGGCAGCCAGGAAGCAAAGAATGAAGGGATGAGCCTGGGAGGGAGATATTCACTTCCGGGTCACAGCCCCAGTGACCCCCTCTTCCGACCAGACCCCGTCTCCTGCAGGCCAGCTGTATTGCCCCATGATCCAGTCACCTTCCATAACCTGGCCTGTGAGCCCATGAGGCCTCTGGTGGACATTCTTGATCTGAACTGTGACAGTCACCATCCATTCAGTTCCTCCAGCAACCTACTGAGGTGGGCACTCTCATTGTCTCCATTTCACAGAGGGGGAAATTGAGGTCGCATACAGGGCAGCTGGGCCTTGAACTCAGACAGTAGGTGTGGAATCTGCACCTGCTGTCCCCACATCCCATTCCTGTCAGGAGCAGAGCCAGCCTCAGAAAACTTCATGGAGTAAGTGGGAGAAGGTCCCCAGGACAGGAGAGCCC